CGGAGAGTCCACAGCGCCCCCAGGTGTGTGTGGGTCAAAGGTCAACACTAAATCGCTATTTTTAACGTGGAACCAAAAATCCTGCTCCTCTGAATGGAAACAAGTTTAAATTACAAATAATCAAAAGATAAAGTAAAAATGTTTCCATGAGAGTTAAACAGATACACGTATAATAGACAAAATGTAGTCAAATAAATGCAGAATCAAAAGATCAGCAGAACAGGTGCAGATCATACAGCAGGAAATAAAAATATAAACGTCCGAGGACGGTTAAATATCTCACAATAGAAACTAAACTTTATATATTTACTAAAATATGGCGACGACGGGCTGAAATATCTGGAGAAAAAGTCAAATATTAATCCAAGAACATGGAAATCTAGAGTTAAATTGTTGCGTGTAGGTTTGTCCAAATATTCCAAATAAGAGTTGATAATCATAAGAATCAGAACCCTGAACATGACTTTAAAAACAGTGACATGAGAAAACACGAGCACTTCAGCTTCATCATCGAGGAAATCTTTTTGTATTGAACCCAAATAATCATGTCAATAAAAACAATGAGCAGAAACGTGGACTGAGTTTGGCTGAACGGTAGAAGACGAGGTGACGCACATTAACCTGAGGCGGGACGATACGAGAAGAGCTGCAGGGAAGGAGACTTCACTTTCTGCAGGTCCGGCAGAGACCAGGTCCACAGTCCACGTGGAGCAGCTCAAAGACAGAGAAGAAGAAGATCCATCCAAACCCGCTCCAGGGATCAGCACACGTCCTGCAGCACATTGTTGCCCAGAGAGCTTTAATTTAATGAGGGGAGATGTCCACAAAGACTTTTCTCCTCCTTCAGTCGCTCTCACTCTAACATGTGTTTCCTTTCCCCTTCCCTCGCCTCACAGGTGCGTCTGATTCACCTCCTCACTTTCCTGTCAAACATGAAAAAGGGCTGTTCTGCACTTTTTCTCCTCCTTTCTGCTACTAAAACAATCTAAAAGCTGCTGCGTCTAATGTGTCTAAGTTAGAGGTTAAGAGGGTAAAAGGGCCTCGCTCACAGTCACAGAAGAAGAAACCTGAGAAGGAAAGGCTTTCTGAGCGAGAAGATGAGGATACAGCCATTATTCATATAGCCAGACAAACAGTATCAACACCTCCCAGATGATCAGAGGGACGTGATGCATTGCTGTAGACTAAATCCCCAACAGGAGAGAAAGGAGTTAAAACCAGCTCCACCTTCAACATCTCCAGCAGTAAAAGAGCTAAAGTTCATGTTGCTGATAAAACTTACATGCTTTTACTAAAGGAAGCTTTGAATGCAGGACTTTTACCTGCAGTGGATATTTTCTCCGTCTGGCGTCAGGACTTTTCCATTTTGACCTTTTACTGTGTATAAAAAGCATTTTACAACCAGCAGATTCTGAAGGTTCATGTTCTTACCTGGTTACCTGTCGTTTCTCCGCCGACAGACACAGAGGAATATTCTCAGGAGCAGCTCTGCCAGGTACAAACTCACCAACACACGCTCATCTTCATGGTTTCACTGAACAAAAGGAGAGAAACATTTACTGAAACACACATTAAGTGTTGAGGATGACTGCGCTGCTCCACGTGACCTCAGGGTTTTACATGTTTTTACATCATCGGAAAGTAAACAAAGCGTTTCCCAAAGCAAAGCCTAGTTTTTTAGCTTCATGAAGGCATTTTTTATTGTTCTTGGTCGACTTGTTTAAGCCTTTAATGGTTTAGTGTGACATCATGTAGACAGAATGGTTGTATTTAACCAGATTTAACCATCTCTCCCTCTGTTTGTTATCGTGTCACCGCCACACAAACAGTAATGCAGCTTACACAGAATAATATTAAAGGTTTTCTCTCTCTTCAAGGATTTAATCACATTTCTGGACAAAATGGTGAGTAATAACATATCACACGCACTCTTACCTCAGCGGCACAAATTTCTATTAAATGAAATGATGAAAAGAGTTGATGGAAGTTTGTTTAGTCCAGAAACAGTGACATTAATTTACAGTAACGTCTGAAAGTTTCTCTTCACTTTAGTTCAAAATAAACCTGCAGAGACTTTAAACTTGCTGCAGATATTCAGGCGATTATCTCAGTTTGTCGTCCGCGTCGTGTTCTGATGGAGAACCCAGATCTATAATATCTTCTCCAGGCGATACCTCAGGTCACCCTGGTGGGTCACGACTGGGGCGGCGTTCTGGTGTGGACCATGGCTCAGTATCATCCTGAGAGAGTCAGGTGAGCACACGCACAGGTTCAGGTGCGCCTCCCAGATGCTCGATGCTGTAGTAAAACCTGTTTGTTGTTGTGTGTGAAGCGCTGCGGCGTCTCTGAACACTCCTCTGTTCCCCGCCGATCCTTCTGTAACTCCTGCAGAGAGACTGAAGGCTGAACCCAGATTTGACTACCAGCTCTACTTCCAGAAACCTGTAAGTCTGTCTGCAGCATGCTAACACGCTGACACAGGCGGGACTTCAGATCAGTTCAGATCTTTGTTTGGTGAACACAACGATGGCTTTATATTTATACGACAGACGACACACGGCACGTTATATCGTGAGCCGACAGGCTGAGCTCTTTATTCCATTATGATGAGATCTTCGTCTGCTGTCCCTTTCTGTCAGACTAAAGACTGAAGCGGGGGGAAACTGTTAGCCTGGCTCTGTCCAAAGTTCAGAAGACAGCTTTAAAGTTCACTGACAGACACTTTAGATCTAGTTTAGTTCATCTGGACACAACCAGAAATGTGAAAAGGATCATTTAAATAAACCAAAGTATTTGTGTTTTTCTAGACGGCAGCTAAAGAAGACGAGCCAGAGATTTGACTGTGGGACTCGCATGACGATAGAGCTCTGGATCTGTCCACCTAAACGCAAAGTGTCCACCTGTGTGTGTTGCAGGGCGCGGCGGAGGCCGAGCTGGAGAAAGACTTGGAGAGGACCTTTAAGATTTTCTTTTCCAGCAGCGGTGAAGCGGTGAGTAGACACACACGCACGAGTCCAGTCCGCACAGGCAGAAAAATCCCCTTCGTGTCACATAAGAAATGTTGCGTTTCCGTCTTCAGGCGAAGCGTCCTGCCGTCAGCACCGCAGGAGTCTGCGCTCGAGGTGAGCCTCCACCCTGAAGTCTGAGCCGGGACTTCCTCCCGAATGATATTTGAAGAGCTCATTAAAAAGCCCGGCAGATACTGACACGTCCCGTTACAGGTGGTCTGTTTGTGGGTCTGCCGGAGCAGATTCCCCGGAGCTCCGTGCTGACGGAGGCCGACCTGCAGTACTACGTCAGCCAGTACAGAGAGCGAGGCTTCAGGTGGCTCAAAACAGGACACGGTATCTGTTCACAGGCCGCTAACATTTTCATACAGAGTCGATCACCGTCTTGTGTTTGGTTTCACAGGAGACCGTTGAACTGGTATCGTAACGGGGAGGCGAACTGGAGGTGGATGTGTTCTCGTCCCACTGCAAAGGTTCGTTACAGAGCGCATTATGAGACGCCAGCATCTCAAACAAACATTTAAGAAAACAAAACCAGGCTCTAAAACTGGGTTTCTACACATCCTGGAGTTCTGCAAAGCATTTTCAGCTCATTTAAACTTCTTGGAAACCGACATATCGTATCGTCCTGCTGGAAAAGGTTTAATGTCAGAATATAGGTGAACATCAAAGTCACCATCAGGCTGCTGGATTATCTGTCACAGTGTTTGTGTTCCTGCAGCAGCTGGACGAAGATCAGCTGAAGAGAAATTTACATTTGCCCCTAAAAAGTGCCGTCCCTGTTTCTGATGTTGCTGTATAAGTCAGGTTTCTGCAGGCTTAGTAGCGTCTGACTTCCTGTCTGTGGCCCTCAGCTCCGAGCCCGTCGCTTCCTACTGAAGACGGAAATCTTTAAAAACATCTCACAGATATTTAGTTGCGGTTTTGTTTCCTAAAGCAGCTGCTCACTGTGGTTTTTATCCAACAGACAGGAAGCAGTGCATTTGTTAGGGACTATTTTCAGCGGCGGATGAATCCACAGGTGGCGGGTTTGGGGCAGCAGGACGGTGTGTGTGGGACTGAGTCAGAATAAAGTACAGAGTGTGTTCATGGTGATGAAGGAACATGTGACCCAGTGCAGCAGAGAGGCTCACTGATGCTTTGACTTCAAGTTCAAAGACTGATTTTTATTTCCACTTTAGAGGAGTGAGATGCACAAAGAAAGTCTGTCTGTCACTGTGTGTGTGTGTCTCAGCTGCTGATGCCTGCTCTGATGGTGACGGCAGGTAAAGACCAGGTTCTGCTGCCGGCCTTCTCCAAAGGGATGGAGGACTTGGTGAGAAAAACAGCAGCGTCCTTCCTGAAGACAGACAGAGTGATTATAGATTATTGGAAATGAATCTGACCCGGTCTCTGTTGGTGGACTGCAGATCCCGAACCTGAGCAGAGGACACATCGAGGAGTGTGGACACTGGACTCAGATGGAAAGGCCAGCGGAGACAAACAGCATCCTGATATCATGGCTTAGAGAGACGCACAAGAAGGCTGGAGACGTTAAAGTGGCCCCCAAACTGTGAGGGAGGGGGGAGGGAGGGAGGGAGGGAGGAAGGAAGAGAGAGAGGGAACAGAGGGAGGAAGGAAGGAAGGAAGGAAGGAAGGAAGGAAGGAAGGAAGGAAGGAAGGAAGGAAGGGAGGAAGGGAGGAGGGAACAGAGGGAGGAAGGGAGGAAGGAAGAGAGAGAGGGAGGAAGGGAGGAAGGCAGCGAGGGAGGAAGGAAGGAAGGAAGGCAGCGAGGGAGGATAAAGAGGATCAAAGTCAGAATAAATGATGAACGAGCGTTTGTGTCTGATTGGAGCCAAATAAAAGTTCACTTCATCTTTGTGTCAAATCGATTATTATATTAGTCGATTAAAAGAAAAAGACTCGACAGCAACTTTGAAAATCAAACATTTATTTATCAGAAAAAGTTTTTCTCTGTTTCAAATCATTTCCATCTGAATATTTCACCTTTAGTTTTTCTACACTATAAAAAATGATGCAGTAATAAATAGTAACTTCATCAATTCTCTGAACGGCACTTTAGTGACTGTTTGACTCGGACATACCAAAATAAAAGCCTAGAAATTCAACTTACAATTTATCATTCAGCTTTATTTCACAAAATGAATTTCTATTTGTTAGAAATCCTTAATATCTTTGTTAAATTTGACTCAGAATATCTGAGAATGGATTAATTCTACTGATTAGTTTGAAGAACTACAATAATAAGATTATTATTTCAACTTTAACAACAAAGTGAAAAGCTGTAAGAAAGAAAGAGTCAGTGTCTCAGATCAAACAGCTCAGAGTGTTAGAAGGCTGCTCAGAAGCTCTGAGGTTGTGGGTTCGATCCTTATGAGGCTCAGTGACTTTTGAAGTCCAACAGCCAAAGTGAGAAGATAAAAGCGCCCGGAGAAAAGGTTCAGATGTGAAGGGGACTCGGCGGCGGCGTGGGGTTCGATGGCGACCGCGAGGCGCAGGCGGCGCAGCGGTGGTTCGAATCCCGCGTGCGGCCGGGTACCCGGAGCCGGTCCCGCGGCGTCGGGTTCGGGAGGGGGCCGTGTCCCCTCCCGGTGTTCTGGAGAGGTAGAAGCTGGGGGTTATGGAGCGGGAAACAGGAAGTGGCTGAAGTTTTCCTGAAAGGTGGAAGATGACCGACAGCACAAGGTCTTTATTGGTCCAGAACAGGTGCTGCTGGGACTCGTGGTGTCAGCTGTCCTCCAGGTGCAGCAGCTGGAAGCGAGTCTTCAGGGCGTGTCCCCAACAGCCTGGAAGAGACAGAAGAAGAAATGAGTCCACAGGTTTGTGACAAGTGAACAGTTTGAAAATCCATCAGTGAGTGAAGCTGCAGACAAGAAACAATAATCAGAGTGTTTCCATGGAGATGATGATGTGAAGCAGCGGTGGAAGAAGGACTCTGAACATTTCCCTAAGCAAAAGCAGCAGCGGCACAGTGTAAAAGTACTGTGTTCGAGTCCCAGTAACAGTATAAAGCATCCTTTATATAGCGCTGGCTATCTGAAGCTAACATGATCCATCAACATGTGATAGTTACTGTGTGTTTGTGTTAATAATGTGCAGAGTGAGTAAAAAGTGCAGCATTTGGCCTGAAATGTAGTGGAGTCCAGGTCTAATGAGGTCCAGGTCAGATGTAATGTCAGTAATATCAGTGTGAGCAGTGGATCAGTAGAATCTGAAGCTGATACAGTAGCAAGTGTATTTAGTGTTAGTTCATTTAGTGTGAGCATGTGAAGAAGAAGAAGAAGAAGAAGAAGAATGTGCTGACCTGGTCTGAGGGAAAGGCTGCTGCGGGACTGTAGAAGGAAATCTGTAGAGTGAGGACATGAAATATATTCAGATGGGACATGACGAGGTTTCAGCCAAACTATCATGAGGAGCACCAAGTAGAAAGTGAGTGTGTGTCACCATGAGAAGGTGGAAATGAAGCGTCAGGCCGTTCATCAGTTTCAGCTGCTGGAAGAAACAGAAGAAAACAACATGAGTCATCTTCTCGTTTCTGCTGGATTTAGTTTTGTTATCCGTCTGTCGTGGTGTTGGACTCCAGGTGAAGGTGATGCTCCCTCTCTGCTGCTCTCACTGAAGGGCCCAGGACACTTGTTCTCCCTCTCCTTACTGATGGAGCTGCACAGACAGAAAAGACCCTCCGTCACAAAGCTGACGATGCAGCAGAAGAATTATTGTGATATTACAGTACATTACTGGGGAATTACAATCTTTTGCTGTACATCATTACAACAAGGCCCTGTACTTTTACAGTGTGTACTGTGAAAGTAATGTACAAGTTGACAATAATTTACTGTGAATTTACAATGTATACTGTGGAAGTCATGCTAAAATTGTCCAGTAACGTACTGTAAAAGTAATGCAGATGAAGCTTCCATTTACTGTGAATTTACAATCATTGTACAATTAACCCCCTACCCAACAAACAACTCTGAGGTAAATTCAATGTTAGCCCAATGGCATATTTATTAACAAATATTTTTCAATGTGCAGCAGATGCCAAGAACTTCAAGAGTTCAAGAAATTCAACTTTCTAGTCATAAAAGCCATCTTAAAATGCAGAAACTATGATGCCCACTCAAAGTCAATAAGTTTCCTCAAAAGGGTGCTCACATGAGGGTTCATTGTTGTCCGCTTCGTGGTCTTTGAGCCTCTTTCAGGATTGATGCCCAGGAAGCACCTGTTAATAAGCAAAGATAGTTTCAGTTTTAAATAGACTTACAGTATGTATTGCAGACAGCATTTATCAAGGTGCGCTTTTTGCTGTGCTTTTTCCCCACATCAAACCCTAATAGATTTAAAATCCAAACTTGTTAGATCGTACTCTCACCATAATTTTTTTTAGCCACTTTTAGCCAAGGTGCCTCAGGTTAGGTTTCCCTGAGGCAAAGTGGTTGATTTTCTACTATGAGAGGCCATATCAACGTAGGCTACTCAAGGTTGAAGACGTAATAGCTGCTGAAGAAAGCAGATACTCCGTGTAAAGAAAGGGTGTGGGCCCATCACGACATGTCCCTCGATGGATATAAGCCATCCAGAGGGCTTCATCATGTCACCTGATATGAACAGATACAACATTATGTGTTATGAGCACTTTGCGATCTGCTTAAGACACAAAGGGCTATACAAATGTAATTCTTATTATAATCATAATTATTATTATTTATTGTGGTCATGTAGATTTCTAGAATGAAAAGAAAATAATGAGTTGTCGATAAATGTCGATACTAGATCAAAGTAACATTACCTTGAATGATCAAGCAGGGGGTGCTGGGGAGTTCTGCAGTATTGACGTCCACAGCAGTGGCACATGGCTGTAGTATAGTTAACACACAATAGCATGGATTTAGGATAAAGGATAAATATTGTTCATTGGTCAGAGGTAGTAAATCATGCAAGGTAAATGTTGATAATGTAATCATACATTTTGCATTTTAAATATTTGAATAAAAAATCTTACATCAACTTCAAGCATCAAACTCTCTTTCGGCTCTTTGAAGTACAACATTAGGAGCAGCAGGATGCAGGCAGCCTTGTCAGAGTCTGGATCATAGCAGGCCAGAACATCACGGATCTTGGGGTTGTCCAGTGTTGCACAGTAATCCAGGATGGTCTGTCCTCGTCGACTAATTGCCTCCTGTAGCTTCTGAAGGACATCGACGTCCGTCAGGAGGCCAAAGTGTGACAATAGGCATTTCTGAGAGAAGAGAAGAGAAGAAGAATTCCTGTTTGATCTCAGACATCGCTGCAGCAGGCACTTTGGTAAGGTATTTCCGCAGGATGACGTATGTCTTTTCCATCATTGGTTCCCTGCCCCACTCATTCCTTCCTCTGTGTATATAGACACAATTTGGTCTTCCACCTGACACACCTAGGAGTGGGCATCACAGGGTAACAATACTATTGGGGACGGTTGTAGCTCAGAAGTTGGAGCAAGTCGTCTCATGATTGAAGGGTCAGCAGTTCGATTCCCTGTTGTGACTGTTTAAATAGACCCATCCCACAGATGTTATGTTACAGTGTAATAGTTTTGTAAACACAGGTGTATTTTATCAAACTAATTAAAGGGATATTCCACCATTTGGGGAATTAAGCAATACCACGTATAGCTCCAGTCTAGCATAGATCATTGGATCGGATTAGACCATTAGCATCTCACCCTCAAAATGACTAAGATTTCCGGAATTTTTCCTATTTAAAAGTTGTCTCTTCTCAAGTTAGAACGTGCGATAAAACTAGCGGAAAATGAAACATGGCAATTTTCTAGGCTGATTTGACATGGAACTATACTCTCATCCTGGCGTAATAATCAAGGAACGTTGCAAACGTACCATGGGCGCAGTGATATTACGCAGCACGTGAAAATAGTCCCCGTAGAATGCAACGGGGACTACTTTCAGGTGCTGCGTGTTCCTCGGCAGCCTCTGAATACTGCACATGATGCACATCTATGTTTTCTGGAATGTGAAGCAAAAGAACATAGTTACACACATTCTCAGACACATGCTCACAGCCAACGAATTTACAGTTGAACATTGTGGATGCATGTTAACTAGTCACCTACCTAATCTATTTCTCCTCACTCTTAGCCTGACACTGAACAGGATGGACCTGGAAAGAAAAGAAAAGAAAAAGGAGAAATTACACCTAGGCAACCAACAATAAGAATTTCAGTTTGAATGCAGATTATGATAATTGATTTTCATTTAATTTTAGCCGTATGTCAAAAATGATAGTGGTATATCTATAGTGTTTTTTTACTGTAGCACTTTGAGATTGCTCACTCAATGTAAAGTGCATTTACAACTTTTACAATTATTATTCATTCATATCCCGTTGTCGAACACGACATGAGACTAACTTACTCCAGTTAGCTCAGTCATGTTGTAACTAGGATATCCGCTGGAAAATTTTTTTTTCCATGGACCTGGATTGTGCATTCCGGATGAGCATGGAACCGTGAATGAGAAAGTTCTGGAGAGTGATTTTGTGTTGTTTGAATCACTATCTTTTTTTGACGGTGAATCACCGTTTGAATCACTAAGTTATTAAAGTTAACAGCTAACAGTTAGCAATGCTAATCTATGATAACCTTGACTAATTACAGAAATGTGCACACATAAATAGTAATGTTTGTCCCATCATTGGTTTTATAAACTTTACAAACACCAGATTTGTCTAAACGGGGATAGTGACATGAAAAACTGTAGCGAAACTCTCCTCATTACTAACATTACTACTATTAGCAAATGCTGTGAGAGAACTTTCAACAATTCCGGGCACTTGCTAACAAAATGTGAACTGAGTCATGCGATAAACGTTTATTTGAAAGTAAATATTATTATCATATTAAAATAACATGGGTGTAAGTGCTGCATGCTGCTCACATTCTCCATTCAGCCCGGAATAGAAGAGGGACACGACAGAGCCTTCAGTTCAAAACAGTTGAGTTATGTCATGTGACTTCCAAGGGCACACAGTAATAATACTGTTTAATGCTGTGAAATCCTTAATTTTTTCACTGTGTTGCTGTGATATTACAGACCTTGTTGTGATATAACAGCAGGTTTTAGATTGCAAGATTTTACTGTAAAATAAGAGTTAAATGCTGTAAAATCCAAGGATACTGTAGTTTTTACAGGTATTCATCGGGATATTACAGGGAAACTCATTTACAACAAGTTACTGTAAAATAATACTTTTAATTATTGTGAAATGCTGGTAATTTCTAACAGTGTTGCTATAGTTCAGCTGATCTTCAGTCACATCCTGTTTTTATTCCCACTTTGTTTTTAAACTCAGGCTTTGCTTTCAAAATCTTTGATCTGCGAATATAAAATATCGCAAGAATAATGGTCAGTGAAACTGTCTTTAAAGTCTCATTTTATAAAAAAAATTATAAATAGTGCAGTAAATTTAGTACTGATTCACATGCAAGTGGAGACATAAGGGCTCAGATTAGAGTTCAAGTTCAAATTCAAGTTTATTTATTTTACATGACAACAGCAGAAAAAGTAAAAAATAAATAAAATAAATGTCACTACTCAACTCTGTTTGAAGGCCAATGAATAAAGATAAGTCTTTAGCAAGGATTTGAAAGTGTCAGGAGTTTGGGCATTTCTTATTTGAAGAGGTAAAGTGTTCAGCTACTGAGAAGGCTCAGTCACTGTTTTTAACCTGGATCTGGGGACATCGAGGAATTTTTCATGAATACTAAAATCATCTAAAAATGATCGAAGTTGATTAAAAACCACTCTCTAGGAATTGTCCTTTTATTGAAAAGTGGTTTAGAGCGTTTCTCCGTCAGTGAAGCACCACAGTCCAATATCTCAGTGCAAGTACAATCAAAACTGCAGTTAAAGGGTTAATTGCACGCACAGGTAGAAATCTCCAAACAGGGGAGAGCCACAGTAAATAAGACAGGTAGATTCACTTATGGTTACACATAAACCATACGGCAGCACAAGATCCAGAATATGTCGGGCCGGTGACAGCGTGAGATTAAAAGAGTCAAGAAGATAAGAAAATCTTTAGCCAGAGGTTTGGATTCACAGCACACATGTTAAAATCACCAATAATTAAGAAGTCATCATATTTCAAAGCAAGTCTGCAAAGTCTTGAATAAAATCCTTGTTAAACTTACACCACCGCACATAACACAGTTTTAACCACAAGTAACCAGAATTTCCCGACAACGAAAGACAGATTTGAACACAGACGCCCTGAGCTGAGAAAGTGACAGCAGGGAGGAAGAAGTTCAGAGAATGGAGTGAACTCACCAGCATGAAGCCAGGTTTCTGTCAGAAACATAAAATCTCCACACAAAAGCGCAGATAGCTAGAGAAATGACAGCGAACACAGAAGTGGGTTTCAGAAGCGAAAACTGAAAGAACTTCCCAGGTGTTTCAGATTCAGATTGTGATTGGCCAAGAGCAGAAAGGCCCTGCCTCCCGGCATTTTTTCAGATCCTCAGTTGATCAACCTGTAAAACAAACTGATACACTATGAGATTCACCCTTTCATAGGAAAGTTTAAACATTTTAAAACCTTATTGCCAACATATGTGTGATAGGCAATGAAATAATCACAGAGAGAAATAAACACATGGACTAAAAGATAAACATATCAGTCAAGGGAAAGAGGTTAAAACAGTTAAAAAGATTTATATACTTTAAAACAGCAGATTTCAAAATGCTCACACCAAAGGCAGGCGTCTTATCCATTGCAGCATCACCACCCCTATAAAATATTGGGGATCTATTTTGTTTATTTATTTACATTTCAGTGAATAAGGAAAAAAGCTAAAATTGAAAAAGAATCAGGACCACTTGAGGTATTTACAAACCAGAGATTTAGAAATTTCCAAAAGACAACACCACAGTGGGAAAACAAATTCGCAATATCTTTAAAAAATAACATGTAAAAGACACTTCTGACCAAATACTGATATGTATATTATATTTTGCAAGATGGAAGAAGAGGGTGACTTCTTGTTTATTTTATTTTTTTGTTGTGTTGAGTTTTATGTGTTTGTTCTTTAAAAGAAAACTTTATAATAAAAGTGTCTTAAAAAATGTTTACGTTTGTGTTGGAGATTTTCACCTTTACGACAAATACATAGCGGTTCCAAATATCGGCCAACTTGACTACTAATAATCAGTATCAGCCTTGCAAAAATCCTATCAGTCTCCCTGGTCCTGACCTGAGAAAGACAACAAACACTCACAGTAACACTCTGCTTTTATTGGAACAAAATAAGTCAAAACAACAAATGACAGAAGGTAAAAGTCAAAGAAATTTCCACCAAATAAGGATCAGTGTTGGGAAAGCTACTTGGAAAATGTAGTGAGCTAAGCTACTAGATATACAGTGCCTTGCGAAAGTATAAATTTCGTTCCACTTCATGATTGTGTCCCACTTGTTGTTGATTCTTCACAAAAAATTACAGTTTTATATCTTTATGTTTGAAGCCTGAAATGTGGCAAAAGGTCGAAAAGTTCAAGGGGGCCGAATACTTTCGCAAGGCACTGTATATCTATATGTACATCTATATATACACACACATTAATAATAATAATCTTTATTTTTAAAAAACAATACAAGAAACAAAAGTCACTTCAAAACACAAAACATGCACACATATATATCTATATCTACATACATGTATATACCATCCATCCAACCTCAACCGCTTATCCTGCGTACAAGGTCGGGGGGGGGGGGCTGTAGCCAATCCCAGCTGACAACGAGCGAAAGGCGAAGTACACCAGGTGTGAAATATCAGACAGAGAGGTTTTACTTGAAGGCCCCGTACAAAAGGTGAGTTTCCCAAACACCTGAACGATTTCTGTAACTGTACAGACTCAACTGATCTGTTCAGCAGTAAGAATGTTTCTCCAACAGGAGGAGACTCTCCCTCCTAAACAGAACACAGAGACACTGAAGAACCAGAATCCCAGGACCCGAACCCAAAGCCAGGATAAAGAGGTTCAGTGAATGTGGTGTTGAAGGTGTGGAGGTGGATCAGTGTGTCAGAGGAGACTCTGTAGAAGGACAGAGAGCCAGCAGGACAGTCCACATACACTGCTACTCTGTTAGAGACAGAGGAGGTGGAGGAGGAGGAGGAGGAGGAGGAGGTGGTTGTTCTTCTGTTATTGTGCCAGACAGAGTAACCATCACGATCAGAGCAGCTCAGACTCCAGGACTG